GGATTACAGACATGAGCCACCACACCCAGCTGTATTCAGTTTCTTTTTAAATCATCTAGGAATGTTATATTTCAAAGAAATGCACTCTTATTTATGTACCTTTTTCTTGGTATTTGAGCAAGTAGGTATGAACTGTGGTAGAAATATTTTTATTTAAAGACTTAAAGACTTTAACATCCCCTCCTCCGTACATCCATAGTACAACACCATTCTTCCTACATCCATAGTACAACACCATTCTTCCTACATCCATAGTACAACACCAACTTGATATGCCCTTGCTATCAATGCTTGTCTCCAGGCTATGTTGTGTGTTCTCAAAAGCACTGAGTAAGGAGATCTGTCTGAAGAAATGCTATTAATTCTTCAAGTTCTAAGTCAAATATCTCTCTCTTTATTAAACTTTTCATGTATTCTTTAGGGGAAGTTTAATACTGTCTCACTCTCCACAGTGAGTCCATGTACTTTGAACTCATGAATTTATTCCACAACAGCATTGGTTTTCTTTTTGGTATATGTGTACATGTCTTGAGGGCAAAGACTGTATCTTTTATCTCTGTACCCTAACATTAAATATTACATAACTCAAAGGCCAGGGTTGCAGCATTATTAGTAACTTCTTGTCTTAAAATTGTTGCTTCTCCTCTCTGGCTCGCCATATTCTCATCTATAAAATGATGAGACTGGGATTGGATAATTGCTGAAATCTAAGTTGCTCTGTTTATGTCCCAGTGAAAGTCAGTGAAAATATACACTATTGTTGATGTTTGAAATGTACATCCCCAACAGATATAATGAGAAAATAGTCCCTGTAACTGTAAGACTCTGAAGAAAAGCTTAGGTTAAGTCACAGCCCTTGGGCGTTTAATTTGTGTGTATTCATCTAGACACACACTGCAAAAAGTAAAAAGAAGAAATGTAATGTAAATAGCAGAGACTGTTCTATCTGCCATCCCTCTTGGGAATTCTGTGCCTGGACTGGGTGTGAGTCTGAAGAAGAGCATCACCTCTCTTTTGGGCTTGGTTCTTATATACTTTTTGTATCATGAACATCCTATGTATCAAGATAATAGTATTTATATAAACCAAACTATATCTGGTACTCAAGAAAAGTATGTCAGTCTCTGTGATGGCACATAAATATGGCTATGGAATCTAGTACACAGGCCACCAACAATTAAGAGAGAAAAATTTGTATTAAACTTTATAGGCAACTTAAAAAGATTTTTTCCAGGTATTTTTGACTATGTCCTCTTTCTCCTTAGTTTTGACTCCTCCACAGGTGCAGCTCTGTTTTGTTTACCTAGGCCAGTTGTTACTTTTTTCTCTAGATATGGGGGGCAGTAGCCTTAAGATCACCAGTTGTGTATATTTATGTTTAAATCACTCTCTTCTACCAGTAAATTTCTTGAAATAAAAGTTTATTAGTCACAAATCTTATTCCTTCCTAACGGTGTTGTGCATGCATTTGTGCTTGATTCAGTTTACATTTGACTACATTGTGTGTCTCACAAGTGCAATCTTTAGATTCTCTCAATAATGAGCATAGTGAAGAAATTATTCTGTCTTTAGTAATTTGGGATAATTTCTGGGATTTTAATTGTCCTCGTATCTTTTTTCAGAGTGAATGCAAAGTAGCAAAATTTCGTGATTATGAAGAAAAACTCATTGTTTCTGCCTGGTATAATAAGGTGAGCTGAAGTTCAGCAAATGATTGATGAGAACAGTGTTTAGCAAACTTTTTTGACCAAGTACAACATAAGAAAATATATTTTATTTTATACCATAAACCAAGACATAGCATGTGTATGTGTATGACTGAAACAAAAGTTACCCTGTGTATTGCACTCAGATATTTTGTCATATTCTTTTTTAATGTTGATTCTAATCCACTAAATTGATTTTGTGACTCATCAGCGTTTAGCTGATACATATGAAGCACAGTTGTAATAATTCTTAAACCTCTTTTAATTTGCCTTATTTGAGCTGAAACATTCAATTTTTGCCCATAAAAGATTTATGAAGAAATATGAAGATCTGTGTAATGCAAAATTAAATGCTTCTAGTACTCAGTATTTATTTGAACATCCTCTAAAGCCTCAGTGGGTCCTTTACTGTATTTATTACTTTATTTTTTCTATCCAGGGGTCACTCCTCATCATTGTCTCTTTGTCCTACCAAGGAGAAAATAGCATAGTTTGAAATGTGTTTTATTTTGTCATTGGTAGTATCAGTGGGATATTTTCAAGAGTAGCATTTCATGATGTATGGGGTTCTTTTGTATTATTCTAGTCAGTCAGATACGCTATTATCTACTTTTATCTCTTCTTATTTATACAAAGCCATATCACTTATTAACTTCCCACGTGTGAATGTTGTGCTCCACCAGAAAGCACTAGCTATTCTTCCTGAAACATGGCTCATGCTTTCATGACACCATGCTTTTCATCTGAGCTCTTTCCTTTCTTCTGTTGGGTAAAATGTGGCTTAAAGGGCCCTGAAGGAAATTACATGTGAGGTATTCTCAGAACTTTCTCTCATGAGTCAGTCACCCTAGTTGAGATCAGTGACTATGTATTATTTATTTGTTCTTCCATGACCTCTTAATACATACATCAGTGAAGATATTGTAGCCAAGTTGTCCATGATTGATTCATTTTTTAACCTATATTTGTTGAGCATCTAATATCCATGTACTGTACTAGTTACTAGTGATGCTAAGCTCAGTAAAATTGTGTTATGTGGTCTAGTGGGAGAGTAATGACTTCCCTTATAAGAAACTCAACAGCCAATATATGATAATTTATCAGGTATCAATATCGAGATAGACTATAGTAAATTTAAACTATACTGGTGGTTCTCAAACATTAACATGCCTCAGAAGACTTGTTAAAACACAAATTGCTAGACGCACTGGCAGAACTTCTGATTCAGTAGGTCTGGGTAAGGCCCCTAAATTTGTATTTTTAACAAATTCCCAGGGATGCTGATCTTGTTAATCCAGGGACCACCCTTCAAGAAACTTTGATCTAAGCTGTTCTATTGTGACATGTCTGCTCATAGGTGATAGAAGGATGGCCCAAACACAAAAATTTGTTATAATTAAGTATAATTCCAGGCCATTATTTTAAGTTACTATTTTAAATAATTTTAAATTTAGTGGATTAGAGAAACTGGATTTTGTGCCGCCTTACTAGCATTACCATTTCACAGATTAATCAGCTTCTGAGCCCTTATTTTCTATAAAAATGAGGAAAGCCTTAGCTTTATAGGTTGGTTTTAAGGATTAAATGCCTTTGTGAGAAGCACTTGGCAAACTCTGTTTAGTCATGTTAAATAAAAAATATATATTTTTTTTATTTTTCAGAGTCTAGCATTCCAGAAACTGGGGATGGAATCTAGACTTGTGAGCGGCGGTGGTGCCTGCAATGACACTAATGCATGTACTCCTGCACGGTCTTTCTTAGCACAGCAACGGCACATCACCAACACCAGAAGAAATCTCTCTGTTAAAGTCCCTGCTACAACATCTGATTAAACTAAAAAAAAAAAAAAAAAAAAAAAAAAAACATAAAATAGAAGTGTCCTTAAAATATTTTGTACCTTTCAACTAAGTACCAGATTGATAAAGAAGGTTTATGATGCTGGATATCAGGTATTTTAAAATCAACATGCATCAAATTAATTTTGCCAGTTGACTTCAAAAACAAAGTATATAATTAGCCATCTCTCTGCGGGAGCACATTTGAATAATTGGGGATGTAATTATACACACATTTCAAACAAACATTTGTCTTTTGAGTGTATTATAACTTCAAATTGGCCTTGTGTATTTTAGTTAAATGTTTTCAGTTGTACTAGTAACTTAATTAATTTTCAATAGTTATTCAGTAATACTTAATCTTAAAACATTATCTAGATTTGTTTAATTTTTTTGTTTTTTGTTGATTTATATAAAAACAGTCGAGGCAGGCACATGAACTATGCAAGGGTGATTTGAGTTAGTATATACAAGGCTTCTGTCCCTTAATTCTTCCATTGAATGTGTACCTCTACCTTGTCATGTCATGGAAGATATAACATTTGGAAGATTTGACAATTAGAATGACTTTGGAATAATAAAATTGATTAATTGGAAATTTTACATATTCTGAAAATCTCATAGTTCTAATTTGTACCTATGGCAAATAAGGGCTTCTGGACATCATGTTTAAAATGTTAAGCATAAGAAATAAACTGACATTTGTAATAGGCAACTTTCTGATGGAAAGCAAGCAAAATATATATATACTTTTTGTGAAATGTCTATATACTTTTTAAGGTAATTAATGAAGATTTCAGTTACTGCTTTTAAGCATAAAATTATATTTAGCTTCTGCTGAAAAATTGTATCATGTAATAATTTTGCTTCATTGAAAAGGGATGTTGCAGTGATGAAACAAGGTGGGGTCAGTTTGATTTTGTTTACTTATTAAGGAGTTTATCTTGTGCTCAGTTTGTGGTATTCAGTTTGTTTCTGCTCAAAGCTCTTATTTTCAAAGGCGTTACTTTTGAACTTTTGGGGTCATTTTTAAAAGTTAGCACTTAAGAATTTTAGTTGTGTTAAATATGTGCTGTCCTATATCATAGCCATGAGCCATATATGACAATTTAAATTTAATTAATCATAAACTCAGTTTCTTGGTTGCACCAGCCACATTTCAGATGTTCAATAGCCACATGTGGCTAGTGGGTACCACACTGGACAGGGCAGCTATAGAATATTTCCATCATTGCAGAAAGTTCTAGTGGATAGCACCATAGTAAGTCTTTTTAAAGTAACTTGGAAATACTATTTGATATTAGATGTTAGACCACAAAAAGAAGAAAAATATTAGGACTATTTCGGTATAAAAAGGAACTGAATTGTGACATAATTAGCACCTTAAATTCCATACAGTTGAATACCTTATGCTGTGACAACCGTAGTTAATAATTTCAGTGCTGTTCAGCGTACATACCTCTCAGCAGTGTGTCTAGAGCGGGATCAGCAAACTTTCTGTGAATGGACAAAGAGCAAATATTTTAGTAAATGTCTTAGGCTTTGTGGACTACATGAGCTTTGTTGCAGGTACTCAACTCTGCCATTATAGAGTTAAAGCAGCCATATACAATATATAAACAAAATGGGCATGGTTGTGTTTCAGTAAAACTTTATTTACAAAGACAGGTGGTAGGCCAGATTTGGCTTGCATGCTGTAGAGCTGTGGTCTAAATTTTATTCATAGCTTTTCTTTGCAAATACAGTGTGAGTATTGTTCCATTTACAGTGTTATTATTTTTTAGATATCTGGTTTTTAGATTTTTGCCTGGTAACTTTTTACTGAAAATACAAGAATTTCATACTGCATTTGCATCTCCGAGATTAGGGAGCACCTGTCAGGATATTTTGTTCTATCAGGGTTACTTCTGTTGACTACCTCCTAGATTTTGATACAGTTATATTGTTGAGTTTCATTTTCATATATTATTGTAGTATCTGCTTGCCTGTGAACTTCTGGTAAAATAAAATAAGCCTTTGAAAATATTTTAGCATGGTGTTTAACATTTTCTAAATATTATGGCATTTTGACATATTTTAGTCAGTGAAGACATCTGCCCCTTTGGTGTTTCTACTTGCTTATGATTGAGATTTTACAAACCCTTCAGGCTCCGTTTTAATGGAATTTATTGTAAAACATTAACTTTAATAAATTAGTGTTTTCACAGATCAGATCATTATACTTGGAATTTCTAAATCATGCAATTTCTGGATAAGGACATAAGGCTAGATTCATTTTTCTTAATAGAGGAAAAGCAAATTTTCTGATTTATCACTTTTCTAGTTGATAAGTAGAATTTAAAATGTTTGATATGTAAGTATTTATATAAGACTAATGTAATTTAAAGTTCTGTATTATTGTGATTAATTATATAGAAATTCAGGAACTGATCAGAAGTGAGATTCTTTTCCACATCTGATTAATGTAGTGAGTTGACACCCTGTGGGTGGTAAAGCATTATAAACATTTCATCATGAACCATGATTTATACACATCTGTGTTGTAAGGGAGGCTTGAGTACATCTACCAATAAAGAGATATTCAGCATTTGTGTATTTGATAAGGAATTAAATGTCCTAGTAATTATAAAGTAAAACCACAGACCAATTTGAAAATGATCTTCAATGTTGAGCACTTGCTTTAACATTAAAATTCCTTTTCTTTTTAAGGCTAAGGGTGTGTACATATGGCATTGATGTCTATGTTGAGATTAACTTATGTATTGAAAAAAATTTGAAGTTTATTTTTTCAATGAATAAGGCTGTCAAATGATTTAGTATAGATTAATGATGTCTTTTTTAGAAATATTAAAGTGAGTATTCCTCATTATGTCATCATTTCTGATAATTAGAGTGCTAATTTGAATGTTAGATAATGTTTTCACATCTATACCTATTTCTTTCTAGGGGCACATCTGACCATGGGGCTTGGGGGTGACTTTTAGGCCACAGTAGTGTCTGTGTTAGGTTCTCTAAATGTGTATTTAATGAAAAACATTCCTATGTAAAAATGTGTGTATATGAATGTATGCATACATTCTTACTGTGCACCTGTACATTGTGAAGAAGTAGTTTGGAAATTTGTAAAGCATACACCATGAAAGAAAATAGTGTGGAGTTATTAAATGATGTAGCACAAATGTAATGTTTAGTTTATAAAAGGTCCTTTCTATTTTCTATGGCAAAGACTTTGACACCTGAAAAATAGAACCAATATTTGATTTATTTTTGTAAGTATTTAGGATATTATTTTAAATAAATGATTGTCCATTATCAATATAATAGTTGTGAAATGATTTAAGTAAATAAACTTTATTCTTCTGTGTCTGTTGATTTTGATGGGTTTTTAGTGGGCATAAATGCATGTTTATTTGCTGCATTAAATAGAGGACTGAAAATATTTAGGTTGGTAAAGAAAAAGTAATTGCATTTTTCTAATTTCGTTTTTCCTTTTTTTGGGGGGGAATTAAAAGATACATTAAATGATTTGGGAATATATCTTTTTATGTCTCCAATTTCACCTCTGGAACCTAGACATCTTGCATTAACATGGAATCAAAACATTTCTGGGGCCGGGTGTGGTGGCTACACCTGTAATTCCAGCACTTTGGGAGGCCGAGGCAGGCAGGTCACTTGAGGTCAGGAGTTCGAGACCAGCCTAGCCAACATGGCAAAACCTCATCTCTACTAAAAATACAAAAATTAGCCAGGTGCGGTGGCGCACGCCTGTAGTCCCAGCTACTTGGGAGGCTGAGGCACAAGAATCACCTGAACTTGGGAGGCAGAGGTTGCAGTGAGCTAAGATTATGCCACTGTACTCCAGCCTGGATGATAGAGTGAGACTGTTTTAAAAAAAAAAACCCAAGACATTCCTGGGTAATATAATTTTAGAGACTGCTATTTATTCCTGAATATCCATTCTACCCCTCTTACTTTAGTGATAGAATCCCATATTTTAGCTTGTTACATTATTATCCAGGAAAAAAAGAGAAAACCAAAACTGTGCTTCCCAGATTCCTATATAATTAGGTGGGATACAGCTTTGTTCTAGATATCTAGCTTGAATGTACACAATTCACATTCCTCTGAAGTTCCAGGGGATATGGAACTTTCAGGCTTCTCTCATTGTCTTTGGCTTTTGACAGCTTGACTATCAAAGATGGTCAATTGTGGATCTAGGTGTGGACTTCTTCAAATTCTATTTGCAGTTGAGTTTGGATCTGCAGACTAATGCTTTTCATTAAACTTGGGAAATTTTTGGCTATTATTTCTTGAAACATACTTTCTTCCCCTTTCTATCCTTTTCTCTGGTACTCTCATTATACACCTGTTTATACTTGGTGTCCCACATGTCTCCAAGTCTCTGCCCATTTTTCTTCATTCTCTTTTGATTCTGTTCCTCAGAATAGATCATCTCATTGATTTATCTTCAAGTGTATCTCAAATGTGCTGCTGAGTTCCTCTAGTGAATTTTTTATTTCAGTTAGTGTACTTTTCAAATATAGAATTTCTAGTTAGTTTTTAAAAATTATTTCTAGCTCCTTATTGTGATATCTTGTACTTACTGTACTTTTCAAATCTAGAATTTCTAGTTAGTTGCTGTTTTTTATTTCTAACTCCTTATTGTGATATTCTATTCAGTGGAAAATCATTCTCATATTTAACTTAATTCTTTAGCTAATAATTAATTCTTCAGGCTCATTGAACATACGTAAAGCTTTTGTCTAGTAAATCCAATGCCTGGACTTCTTTAGGGACTGTTTCCAGTAACTTCTTTTCATCCTGTCTATGAGCCATTGTTTTCTGTTTCTTCACATGATTCATAATTTTTTATTGGAAATTTGGCATTGTAAATAATATTTGGAAACTCTGGAAATCAGACCCCACCCCATGGTTTATTATTGTTCCTGTTGTTGCCTTTTGTTTAGAGACTTGAACTAATTCTGTAAAAATTCCATTCTTCATTATGTGCAGCCACTGAATTCTGTGCTTTTTAAGCAAAGTGTTCAGCTAATTTTGGCCAGAGATTTCCTTAAATGTTTTGAAATAAGTCTCTCAGCCTTTCCCAAAGGGCTCTACGTGTGTTTTGGGTTATACCTTTAACACACCAGCAGGTAGTTTACAATTCTATCGTAACCTTAGTTTCTTGCTTACACAGACCCCCCCCAGTCAGTCAGAGATGAGAGATTAGGGTCTTTCCAGGCCTTTGCCTGGGCAGGCATGTAGCCCTCACGTGTGCATGGCCTTCTAGATTCCTAGGCATATGTTAGAGTGTTAGAAGCCCCAGTGGGCATCTCTATTCCCAGTGTATCCTTTTAATCCTCTCTTAGCTCCAACTTGTATTGCTACCTTGGCTTACTGTAATGTTGCACAATTGTCACTGATTTTTTTTTTTTTTTAACAAATGTCCTGTAGTGTGGTTCGCACAGAATGAGTGTTTAGTAAGGTAAAATAAAGACAAGTTCTGAGAATGGGGCTTTTCAAGGAACTGCCAGAGAGATCATATAATGATAACTTTCTGGGAATGGGGGCCTTTGGGGTGCTCTAAACCCATTGTGCTCCCTCCAGTGGCTGCTTGATCATTGTTATTCACAGGTACCAAAATTGTGAGACTGTTGCTTTTAAGGATACTTGAGAGCTGGGGAGAGGAGAGCTGGGGAGAGGAGAACTGGCATACAGCAAGTTAAAACAGAGCTCCCTGTTCTTGCTGAGAGCAGCTCTTCTTTTTTTAAAACAAATGCTTAGGTTGTTGTGTGACTTTGTTTAATTTTCAGCATTCTGGAATGTTGATTTTGATTATTTTTGCTCATGTTCTCAGTGCCTTTATGGAATGGATTTTTGGAGCTCCTTAACTTACCATTTCAGAAGATCTCTCTACAAGTCAGATTTTTGAAAGTAGGAGTGACCTTAGTAACCAATATTTAAAACCCACCTTTTCCAGAATGTGAAATTAAGGAATATAGAGGTATAGGGCTTTCTGCATGGCTACAGAAAATTTATGGCTCACTGCAGCATTATGTCACTTGGCTGCTTGCTCTCCCCTACCCCTCACCCCCACTATATGTCCAACAAACATTTCCTGAGCATCTGCTAGGCATGAAACAGGTACTGAACGTGTGTGAACAAGACACAGTCATCTCTGAAAAGCTCATTTTAATTGGGAGACTATATGGAAATAGGAAATAAAATATTTTAAATTATCAGGGAATGGAGGAAGAAGCAACTAACCAAGAGTCAAGAAAAATGTCATTGGAGAGTTAATATTTAAGCTGGCCTTTATAGGATGAATAGGAGTGTGCCAGGTATAATTAATCATTTCTTGCAGAAAAACTAGCTTCTATAAAGACATGAAGATGCTGAAGGAGCTGGCCTATTTAGGGAAGTAATAGTTCAGTACTTTGGCAGGAGAAGTACTAAGAGACGTAATTCAAAAGGTGAATAGATTTCAGATCACAAAAA